AAATAAAATAAAATAAAATAAAATAAAATAAAATAAAATAAAATAAAATAAAATAAAATAAAATAAAATAAAGTAAAATAAAATAAAATAAAATTAAATAACATAAAATAAAATAAAATATGTAAAATGAAAAAAAATAAAAGAATAATAAATTTAAATTCTGTTAAAACAAATTCACTCCTTGCTTTTACTAAATCATATTAAAAAAAAACATTTTCAGCAAGAATTCGGCCTGCGACTACCTCAATGGGCCAAAAGTTATTTTCCCCACCGAATGCAATTCCTAACGGATCAGAGTTATATTTACAATGTTTATACACCGGAGATGCAAAAGATTAAGGCTGGACCATTTTTGAAAAAAATGTTTACCGAAATGCTGGAAAAACGTGAGGGCCAACTTACGCCGAGTAAAAGAAAATTATTTATTTACACAGGTCACGATACCACCGTGGTGAATATACTATCAGCATTGAAAATATGGAAGCGTCAGCTACCTCGATATTCGGTTATGACAATTTTTGAATTACACAAAAACAAGGATACCGGAGAGTATTATGTGGAGGTGAGTATTTATTGGCAACTTTAGTTAAATATAATAACACCTAATTCTTCCCTCTCTGCGCAGATTTATTTCCGTAGTCATGCCAAAGCACCACTTGAGCAATTAACAATTCCAGGCTGTGATTTTCAATGTCCTTTAGACAAATTAATCGAATTAAATGCAGATGTGATTCCTACAGACGCTAATAATGAGCGTTGCTCTGCGAAGAATGAAGATTTTACAGAGCCTCCGCTGCGGGGACCCTAAGTGATTTACTTACAAACATAGTATTGTTTTAGCCTAATTTGTTTTTTTTTTATTAGTTTTATATTTTACAAAATTTTCTTTGAATTTTACTTTAACTACTAAAAAGTATGTATGTATAAGCTCGTTAAGTATGTAAATTGAATTTGTTTATAAATTCCTAAATATTTGAAAGTAACATTTTGGTATTTCCTTACTTTTGAACGATTTTATGTGCAATTCTATGAGCAGAGATACGATTTTTGAACCCATGCATTGCTTCCATGTAAAAAGCTTATCAGTAAAACCGTTCGCGTTTCGAACTTGATTCGAACCGGTTACCAAGTTCGAGAAACCCGGGTTTTTAATACCGGTTGCCAATTTTCATAAAATCGGAGAGGTCACGTCCACTGTTTTTATTGTAGTTATTTCAAAATTAAAATCGCTTTTAACGAAATTAGTAATTGGTACTAAGATCTTGGACTTTTCTAAATTGGTAACCTGTACAAAAAAACGTGCGATCCGATATTTGTGAATAGCAAGAGCGAAACCAAGCGGCAGCCTAAAAAAAATTCGATAACGTTAAGAATAACAACAAAAACATGCATTATTCCTTTAGTCTTAATTAACATCAACAACCAAAGGGAAAGTTATNAACAAGCAAAAGAGGTAAATTGAAAAAAAAAACAAATTTGTACATATGTATATAATTTATAGCAAATAAATAATAATATATAAAAATGCTTTCTTAACGCAAAAAAGCAAACATTAACAACGAACTTAATCCACATAACAAGAAAAAAGCCACTACTCGACTTCGAAAGGGAAATGCAATTTAAACTTTTCATTATGTTTTTCAAGAGCCGCTCAGCATTAGTTGCAATTTTTGCCAAACTAAAACATCACTCCATTCAGCTGATATTGCCCCCATTGCCCCATGGCATGGCCCTTAAACGTCTTTTTATGTAAACT